ATTGGCTGGCTATTGCTAATGGCTCTTTGGCTCTTTAAGATACCTAAGTTTAGGGATGGAGAAGGGGGTTGGGAGCTGTGCAGCTTTAGAAAGCTAGAAATGTACCTGCTAGTGGAGGCTGTAACCGATTATGGATACAAATTTGAAAGAGAAAGGAGGAAGAATAGATAGAACGTTTTTCTGCAAAGAGAGTTTTATACAGTGACTTGCATGAATCAAACTCCTGAGATAAAAGAAATGAATTTTTATTTGTAAGTGGGTTGAAAAAACCCTTGAGAACCTTTTGCTTTTTACTTTTAATTGACTTTATGAAATATGAAGTATTTTATAGCATGGAGTATCAAATTAAAACCTTCATTGGGAGCATGGAGTTATGTCTGTGGTATAAAATCAGGAGGGTTTGAACACTGGGAATGGGAATGTGGGAACTGGCCAAGTACTCTCTACTGGCTGCATGCTGGGAAGGAGTTGCCTCAGTGGTTCCTGCTGCAGTGGGAGGAGCACAGGCCTAGAGTCAAGTTCACCTGTGTCTCAAGCCCCCTGAGTCTTGAGACAGGTTGCCCAGGTTTCCTCTGCTAAACCTTAGGGTCTGACACCTATTACCCTGTTGATTCTGTGGTTTAAATAAGAAAATGAATTTAACACCCCCAGCAGTATGACTGCCTCATGGTAGCTCCTCATTCATCTCCCATTTGATTTTTTTGTACCCAGCTTTAGAGTCTTCAATGACATAGTAGCCTTATTGTGAGCCACATCATCCTAGTGAGCTGGAACAGGTGAATTTGAAGTTTTCCTTTCTTTTTTTTTTTATTCTTTGAACTGGGCATCAAACTCAGGACCTTGCATTTGCCACACAGGCTCTTATGCCCCTCAGCTATTTCCCCAGCCCCAAATTTCTCCTTTCTTTTAATTATGAAAATAGAAATTCATAAGTTCTGAAAAAAACTTGATACTTTAGAAATGTTAACCTACATGAAACTACTGTAGAAATGCTCTTAGAGGCACATAAAATAGTTCATGAAAGATTTAAGATAACAGGCTGGGGAGATGGCTCAGTAGAATAAGTATTTGCCTGACAAGTGCAAGGTCCCGAGTTCAATCCCTGGTACCTCAAAAAAAAAAAAAAGATTTAAGGTAACAGTTGATACTTTCAAAATACAATCCTATGTTAGTTTTTTTCTTTTAAAAAACAAGGAATTTGGTTAGTTCTCCACTCATCCAATTAATATTTATTTGGTACCATCTTTGTCTTGGGTCGTGTATAATGTGGGAAACTAGTTAGTGGACAGAGATTCTTATTCTTGGTCTTACACTGTGGGAAATCACAGGATGTTGTACCAGGAGAGTTTGACATTTTGTGCATCAGTGTTTTAAAAATAAGCATTCTCTCTTAACAGTTGATCTGCTTTTAGGAATGTAATTCAGGGAAGCTTGATAAAGTGTTGCTTATATTAGCAAAAAAAAAAAAAAAAAAGGAAAATGTAACAATATTTAATTGATACATCATTGAATGGATATACTACATATCTATCAGTGATCATACATCTGTATCATGCATTTTCCCTTAAGAAAAGAATAGGTTACCAGAAAGGTCTAGAGAGAAGACAGTTTATTTTGAAAAAAACATGATGTAGAGAACCCCCTGAAATTCTTTCCCAATTACTTTTGTGTATTCTCTGTTTTGAAGAAATCATTCTGAAAGATATGTTATTGTCAAAATCTGTAAAAGGTTGGTATGTGAGCTAATAAGCATCTGGTCAAATCTAATGTTAACAGCTGAGAGATAAAGAGGCACACCAAAGGTAAGTTTTGAGTAGTGACTAGACAAAGCATAGTTTCAGAGAGGCTGTCAGGACTATTTCGTCAGCCAAAAAGGCAGGAATCTTTTCATGGTGCTCTCAATCTTTTGAGATACTTTGTATAGTGAGAAGATTGATCTGTGAAATTATTCTCAACAGTGGTGGAGACTAAGTGAAACAAGGATGCGGCAGCCGACCCAGGAACTTTGCTGGTCACTTAGGCAGCACTTTCATGTCACTTTCTGCTCTGTGGAAACCTCTCATTTCTGGTTATTAAACATTTTATGAGTGACGTTGTTGAGAAATGATTCCCCTCCCCCCAGTTAATAGTAATCTTATTAAAAGTTTTTGTTCAGGTTTTACAAACAGTATAGGAAAACCTTTATTCATGTAAACCTCTCTCAAAGTCACAACTCTGTTCAAAGACAGCTTTACACCTTTAGATACACCATTAGCAGTGCAAATTTATAAAGATAGACAGTTACTCCTATTTTTTCTCCTATATAGAAATAAATTTGCTTGGAGATTTTTTTGGTGGTACTAGGGATCGAACTCAGGACCTTGTGCTTACGAGGCAGGTGCTTCTACCAGTGAGGCTATTTCCCTGACCCTAGAGATTTCTTCTGGTTTTCTCATTTATATGAGAATTGAATTATACAGTAACAAGTGAGAAGACTGTCACTGTATCTGGGTCAGACTTGGACCTTTCATCTTTGTGCTTTGCAGTGTAGTGTGTAGTAAGGAAATCGCTCTGCCTCATATTTTGTTACTTTTTCACATATAATACAAATCTGCATCCCTTTTGTCTCTGGAGTAGACTTTTGGGATTCTTCCCTCCATTCTCATTCTTTCATTCTCTCATATTCTGTCTCTCTCTCTGTCTCTCTGTCTGTGTCTGTGTCTGTGTCTGTGTCTGTGTCTGTGTCTGTGTCTGTGTCTGTGTCTGACTCTGTCTGTCTGTCTCTCTCTCAAAAGTAGGAGTTGGATGTAGAATGAAAGTACAAGAGAATGTGGCTGTCATGCACGTATCAGGTGCAAAAGGAAGAAGTAACTTAGTGACCCTTTATTTAAACTAGAGCTGTACCTTTCACTTTCAATTTGTTACTTTGTTGACTATCAATGTACCAAATACTTTATATAAATCTCACTTAATTCACATTATCCTGAGATTTTTGAATAACTACCTTCTTTTACAGTCAGGACTTCAAAAGCTCAGTTAGTTTCCTTTTAGCCCTCTGCCAAGTATATAGCACTGTCAAGGTCGGAATCCACGTCTAATGCTGCTGCTGTGTATTGCACTAACTGCTAACTGTGGCTTGGGAATTAGAAAAACATTGGGACTAAATTTCTGGTGAATTGTATTAACTGTCTTGGTCCTTGTTTTCTTTATAAAGTGAGAAGATTGGGCTAAATCTTTCGTTTTCTTGGGTTATAAAATTCTGTGATTTCTTGGTTCTTTTTAAATTAATGCAGAGCATATATATAGTGTTTACTAATACTCTATGAGCAGCCACTTTGATTTGTAAGGAATACTGTTAGTCTGTAGATTTTATGGTATTGGTGCTCTGAGGAGGTGTTTTTAAAAAGCATAAGCACAGGTTAAATTGTCAGCTGTTGACTATAAATCTTGAAGAAAAGTACCTGAATATCCAAGGAACATGGAAAGCATGGGCTAGAAATTGTATGGGTGGATCCTGGTAATGTCTTTAGATGCCAGCATTATTTATCTCAAAAGTTACTGTGTCTGGCTGAGTCAAATCACTTGTCCCCCCACTGTGTTTGCATGTGTGTGTACACACATGTGCATGCATGCACGGACCATTGGGCTACGTAGTGCAATAGTCACTCCACTGTTGTTCTTTTAAGACCTTATAACATTTCCAATTAAATGGTAAAGGTATGGTTATGGGAGAAACAATGATCATTGATATATACGACATAAAAATCATATAATTGCAATGTTTTTAATTCAATTTATATAGTACATTTTTCTTGAAGATATTGCACAAATAGCATTGAGATAATAGGCCATTTTAAAATGTTAAAACTTTGACAAATAAGTAGCTAGGCAAAATAAATACACAGAAAAGTAGCAGCGGAGACTATCTGCTTGGTGTAGTAGGTTAGTGACTAGCTGAATTCATTGTACTCCCTATGCTAAGTGAGCACTTGACGTGGAGAGCCCTTTTTTGTCTGGTCTCATACTTACCATTTCCATTCTATGGTTATAATTGAAGACTGAGTTTTGTTGTCAAATGACCTCTCTCTGCTGTTAACTTGGACCAGATTAACTAAACTTTCTAAACATCAGATTCATTGACAAAACTGTATTATTTATGCCTGCCTTGTTATGAGTCTCCCTGAGGAAATATAAATGAATTATGTACTTAAAACATTTAGTTCAGTGCTTGGCATATGGTTAATGTATCATAAATGCTGTTTTTATCATCAGAATATGTCAAAGCACGTTGATGCTGATGAGGCTGTAGAGCATGGTGCTAAAGGCTTCTCTGGTTCAAAAGATAAAGTTGTGGGATTGTAAAGAGCCCCTTTCATTTCTCCAAATTAATGAAATATAATCTGTACTTCATAAAGTAGTATTAGATTTTTAAGTGAAACATACAGAGAATATAGAGAATTACATTTGTATAATCACCATCAGTTTAAGAAATAAAACAATTACAGAATAAACCATTTCTCTGTTTTTAGTATGGTTCCTGTAAACTGAGTATAATTGGACCTTAGTATCAATTTTCTGCTTTTGCCGGTCAGTTTAGATTGCTCACTTTTATTATCATTACCAGTATGCTGACTTTTTACTGTCTTACGTGTTTTCTGCTTACTTTTTTGTTTCTGGTGCTGTTGTTTTCCTTCTGATCTGTCTTCTGTTGGTCTGAAAAACTTTTCTTTTTTCCCCTAAATGGGCTACCCTTGAAATTTTGACACATATAGTGGCTTTCTAGGGTCTAATTCTAAATTTAGTGTGTTTGCCATTCTTCTAAACCATAAAAAAAGACTTTGGAAAACTTTTAAGTTTAATCACTCTTTACCAATCTTTGTTTTTGACCAGTGTTGTTTTTTTTTTTTTTTTTGTCACCCAAATTAGTCTTTATTATTGCTGTCGTTGGATTTAATTTTATGGCAACGTACATTGTCTTTTAATATCCAGAAAAGAAAACTGATTTTCTTATTCCTTTGCAGATTTTCAAAAGAAACAACCAGATGATGATTCCACTCCAAGTACAAGTAACAGCCAATCAGATTTGTTTTCCGAAGAGACCACCAGTGACAACAACAATACCTCGATAACCACGCCAACTCTAAGTCCCAGCCAGCAGCCGCTTTCGACAGAACTGAATGTAACTTCACCGGGTAAAGAGGAATGTAAGTGCCTGGATCATGAGAGGTGGATGGGAGAACAGCCCAGGAAACGAGTTGGGAACTTCTTGGTTATAACTAACTTCAGGGAAAACAGTTTTTTTTAATTCAAGAGAAGTACTGTATTTAGATATAGGATTTCTATTTAGTAAGTTAGAAAATAATTTCCAGCCATTTCATAGGGTACAGGTTCTTCTTAGGAGACATCATTTTACATTAACTGCCAAGATACATAAGGTTTTAAACCACTCTATAGCGATGGCTCTGCACTCTGACTATACTTTAGAATCCACAGGAGATTTGGGGGAGGGATAATCTTCAGCATGGGTCCCTAATTCTAATTTAATTGATCTACCAGGAATCCCAGAAATCTTTTCTTTTTAGCTCTGCAGGAAATTCAGAGGTGCGGCAGGGTTTTGAATCACTGTTTGTTTGTTTTTTGTTTTTTTGTAGTACTGGGGATTGAACTCAGGACCTTAATGCTTGCCAGGCAAGCGCTTATTCTACTGAGCTATCTCCCCAGGCTCTTCCGTTACTTTTCTGTAGTCTTCAGTGGTAGACTACTATTATTTGTGTTTTGGAGGTTCACTAGGTACTTATCTTTTATAATACTGTGACTCTCTGACTCTTGGGGAACAGCTATAATACAGTATTTGTTGAAAATTATAGGATGACAGGAGTTTTTGCCTTGTAAGAGGTTTACTTAAAGTGTTGAATTTAATGACATGAGTGAGTTTAATGAATCTAGAAGTGTGATGGGTTAAGATGTTCTGTCTAGGGCTGGCCAGATAGGTCAGTAGATTAAAGTGCCTGCTTAGGCAAATGCAGGGAACGGGGTGGATCCCCAGTATGTCATGGCAGCCCTACCCCTGGCGTGCACTGAGACTGAGATTGAGATGGCGTGGTAGTGCGCACCTGTAATCCTAGCACTTGGGAGGCTGAAAACAGGAGAATCACTATGAGTCCTATCTATGTAGTGAACACAGGTAGACTCTATACTAAATATATTTTTAAAAAAAAGTTCTATCTATAGTTTTGGAAAGATTAGCAAAAAACAAGTACTTATTTAAATACTTTGTAAACAAGTACTTATTTAAATATTTCGTAAACCACTGTATTCAGTTATATTGAGACTATAAATTAAAAGTCATGGTCCTTGTCTTTCAGAAATTTATAGTTTTGCAGAGCAAGTTAAACAGTGTTTGTTACATTACATAAGTTACCAACCTGGTGTGACTATTTGATAATGTCTGGAGGGCTAGAACACTATTAAACATCTTATATTACACATATAGCACTCTACAAAAAAGAATGATCCTACTTGACATGTCAGTGGCACTGAGGTTTAAGAAGTCTGATTCATGATGATATGTACCCATGTCTTGCAGTGTACTAAATACAGAACTGTTTGAAGGACTTGGCTCCCTGGAGGTGGTACTGGGATGGATAGAAAGTAATGAAAAGGTGTTCTACACACAGTAGTGTGAGCTATAGAAAGAAGTTGCCTTGAGTTCCTTAATGGCCAGTATAACTTTAGGGAGGAGAATGGAAGACGAGCGTGGAAGGGTGAGTTATGGCCAAGTCATAGATGCTTATATGTTTAGTTAAGCTGTTTGGACTTTACACAGGAAACCGTATTTTGGAGCAGAGAAAGTGTTAGCAATATAATTCTTTTAGAGAAGTAAGCTGGCAGTGTTGAAAATAAGGAGGAGCTATGCTGGAATACCACTGCAAAGAAAGCCTTATAATAATATAACATGTTAAAAACAAAAAACGTGATAGATTCAAGGCAGAATATTTTGTTTTCTTTTAGAAAATCAATTCTAGGTCATGTACTTACTGAGTTAATGAAAGCCACGACTCCCTTTCTTAGAAAAACAAATGCACTATCCATTTACACCTAATGTTACATAACATTTCTCTAAAGTGTATTATAGCCTTCAGGTCAAGAATTTGTAGTCAAAAGGAAAGGTTGGAGCTAGCGCAGAACTAGCCTGATAAAGCTTAGATTGGATCCAGGCCACAAGAAACCAATTGATTCAGCCAAAATGCATGTGGGATTAAGATAATAGTACCATTGACTAAGCACTTGACTTATGAGATAGTATTCTACTCACTTGGCATATTATCTTTTATTCCTTATGACAACTCAGTGAGGTGTATGCTGGCATTATCCACATTCTTTGGATAAGGAAACAGGCACAAGTAATTTGTCCACGGTCATAAAATAGCAGTTACTGAAACTAGTTAACAAATTTTCAGATATTTAGATTAAGAATCCATGCTTTTGGTCAGTTAATTCACAATGTGAAATGTACCCATCACAGAGAATATTAATTTTGACACAAAAATCAGTGCTTTGACAGCATATAGCTTAGGTATGTAGAAATCCAAATCATAACTAGAAGTTACTTTAATTCATCCTGAGAAGTACATATAACAGGGATTGGAAGTAAACATGTATTCATATAATTAAAACATCTTCTTTGGAGATAGACCTTCGTGGAATTGACTCGTAACAAGGATTTATATAGCAAACGGCAAAACATGGGCTCAGAACAAAAGGAGTTAAGGGAATGAGTTTTTAAAGAACAGAATGAAAGAAAATTAGAAACAATACAGAATTTCAAAATACAAGATCATAGCAATTCAACAGTCATGATTATATTGCATATTGTCTTCAAAGTAGTTCAAATTACCAGATATAAGCATGCAAAATTGGTCAAAAAATTAAGCATTAACTTTCAATAAGCTAATAGAAATTAGTAGTACAATTATTTTCGCTGTGTATTGTTTGTATGTGTGTATCAATTTTTCCCTTTTCTTTTTTTTCTCCTTTTCCTCATCCCATTTGTTTCCTGTTGATCAGTTTCTTTCCCTTTCACAATATCTATTGTACCTTTAGAATTTTATTTACTTTTTGAGAGTCTTACACTAGGGAGACACTGTGATGTTTACACTTGTGGGTCTGATTTATTTTACTTATAAGTATGGTCTTTAGTTCCACCCACTTACTTATGAAAACTTCAAGGTTATCTTTCTTTATAGCTGAGTGGTACTCCATTGTATAAAAATACCACATCTTTATCCGTGCTTCAGTTAATGGACATTTGGCAGTCTTTGTTTCCAAGATTTAGTATGACAAGTTGTGCTGCTATAGACATGGGTGCACATATGTGACTGTAGTATGATTGTCTCAGTTACTCTTCTGTTGTTGCTGGCACAAATCCCCAACACCCAGAATGAAGGAAGGAAAGGTTTATTCAGCTCACAGGTACTGGAGGTTTCAGTCTGTACTCGGCTGGCTCCGAGGCAGAGCGGCACAGGGCAGAGAGTGTCAGTTCATGGGGGCAGCAAGAGCAAGAGGAGCCAAGGGAGGAGGAGCAGCAGCAATGGCACCAGAGAGGAAGTCTATCTCTTTCTTTCTCTTACTTACATTCAGATTATCCACCCCAGGCTGGGTATAATGTTCACACCCATAATCCCAGCAGCAGTAAAACCTGTAATCCCAGTGGATCATGAGTTAATCTCAAACTCTAGAAGTCCCTGCCCCATGACTGCATGAGGCTTTGGGGGAGATAACTAGACACAAACCATAACAATGATGTTTTCAGTTTTTTTTTTTTTTAAAAATACCCAGAAAAGGAATAATTGGATTGAATAGGATCTCTAATTCTAGTTTTTTGAGGAATTTCCACAGTGATTGTACCAGTCTACATTTCTACCAACAGTGGAGAAGGATTCCTTTTCCCCCACAAGTCCCTTCAGCATTTGTGTTATTGGTTATTGATTTCTTGGTTATATCCATTCTTTCTGGGATGAGATGGAATCTCAGTGTTGTGTTAATTTGCATTTCTCAAATGACTGATGATGCTGAACATTTTCTCATATATTTATTTGCCTTTTGTATTTCTTCATTTGAGAAGTGTGTGTGTTCATCTGAGATGTCCATTTTTGGATTGGGTCTTTGAATTGGACTATCTGGTACACCTTAAGGACATATGGAGGCTTCTGGATTCAGTGCAAGATTTCATCTTCAAAACCCTTTCCCCTTCTGCTGCCTGATCTGTCTTGTCCTGAGATCTGGACCCTAAGTTACAACTCTTCTGTGTTTCATTCCAGGCCACTGTAGAATATTATACTTTTTAATTTATAAATACCTTTGATGTGATTAAGGACATATTTTAGTAACCTTCCTCCTTGCCAAGAAACAATAACCACAACTTAGAGGAGGAAGTGAGGTTTACTTTGTTACAGTTTTTAAGAGGATTCAGTCCATAGTTGACCAGCTGCACAACAGAAACAGCAGGGGTATAGGGCTTAGTGGAGGAATACAGCTCACATCATGTCAGCCAGGAAGGGGAGAGAGAGGAAAGAGAAAAGGCAGGAATGTGGAGGGAGATACACTCTTTTAGGCCATGTTCCCAGGGAACTGGCTTGTCAGCCCCACCTCCTAATGGTATGTTCAGCTCTAACATCATCAGTAAACTATCTCACCATTAGTGCCCCTAAGATCCAGTCACCTACAGAAACCCAACCTATGAACATGAGGCTTTAGACACCCTCTTGTCCTCCCTACCCCATCCTCTCATTCCCCTAACCTCATCAAATCACTGCTTTGAATCATTGTATGTTATACTTGTTGAAGCTAATGTCATTTCTTAATTCCTGAGGTTTTTCAACAGATCTGGGGAAATGGGATTTGTTGTTATTATTTGAGCTTGACTTGGATTTGTATTGTGTTCAGGTGGGGAAAATGGATGCTTAGGAGAGAGCAGTCATTTATCCATGCAGAGACAGCACTTTAAATTTTAGGGTTAACTTCCAAAGGTGAGAGCTAAGAAAAGCAGTAAGAATAGGTCTTGGGTGCAGCCTCCATATTTAGGGAACAATAGTGACAGAAGAGACAATTGTCAGGGAGGAAGAGAATGACAGTGGGCAAGGGCAAGGTCAGAAAAGCCAAAAAATAAATTTCAGTTTATGGTGGTATGGGCTTTAATGAAAAT